GTTTCTAAAAGGCTATTAACAAAAAAAATTTGGAATAAAATGCATAATTTAACCTCAAACAAAAAATTGGTAAAATAAATTAAAAATATAACGTAAGAGTAAGTAATCAAGAAATAACTTTATTAGTAGAGGTATATAATTTTTTGCATGTTTTTATTTTGTGCAAAGAATGTTTAAACACCATTTTCTTATTAAACCCCAAAGCGGAGAGAATATTATTATAGTTTTCTAAAACGGTTTCGCAATGCGAACAGCCGAAGGTTTCTTCTTGCCGTTAAAGAACACTCGAAAGGTTAATCCAAAGATTCCATTCAAATTAATTAAAAACTCGATGGGTGAAAAATATCAAAATCTAATTATTTCTAAAGGACTGATATGATTCGAATTTGGTTATTTTTCTTTGTTTTTTTTTAACAAGTATTAGAATCAATAGATGCCATTCGTGATATCTTAAAAAAATGAAGAAGATTTTTCTATCCAACTGTTCTTCTACAGCCAATTTATATTTTTATATATACTAACACAAACACATACTTACATATTATAGTGAAATGCGAGTGATATAACCAGTTCTATAAGATAAGCGAATTGAAATGGACAGAATGTCAAACGACAAGAATGTCTGAACCAACTATGTAATTTAGCGACTCACGCAAAGTCGTTGTACATTATCTCTTTCATATTCGAGAAAATGTACAAATACAAACATTAAAAAAAACAATTTCTATGAATTTCACTATTTTTCTTATGGAAAATATCTTCTTATACTAAGAAAATCTTAATGTAGGTGATTGCAGTTCACCTTGTATTCTATTTCTTGTTTCAATTTATATTAAGTAAGATGATTGGTTTACGTCTTTTTTCACGTTTCTTTGACAGATCGAGAACTTTATATTAAGTAATGGATTTCAACTTTTATCAAGAACAATATTGTCCTTTCTGAAATAGTATTTTTTATGAATCGTGAATTTTGACCAAATAAAAATAGTATTGTAATATATAGCTGGTATTTCATTTTCCGGGAAAGTATTGGAGGAATGAAACAGTTTTTTGGATATGTTCTAAAAAGTTTATGAAAATGTTACGATAGCGTTACTAAAAAATGAACGGCTCTAACTATTAAGTGACGCATATCAAGTTTTTTATTTGAAGAAATTTGCAGGAACGACTTTTTGATGTCCATCAAATTTTTCTCCATGTTTATTCTTAGAATAGTTATAACAATAATATTTAGAATGTTTAAATCTTAGTTTCGAAGAAAGAAAAAGTCATGAGATTCTGGTTGGTGAATTTTTTACAAAGAAAAATTTTGAGAAAAAAGAAGAAGAAAATGAGCTGTATGAATCTCGCAAGAAATCATCAACAGATCTAAAATGTGAACGTGCATTCTTCAACGTCACCCCTCTATAGTTCTTACAAACCGCGTTATTATTTATTTGATTTCTAATTATTTATTATAACATTTCTTTTCTCGGTC